GCAGCCTGCTCCCTGTTCAAATGTGGTCGGTAAACTGCCCACCCCCAGCCCTTCCTACATCTAGACCCTCAGCTTCTATTCCAGCCTGTTACTCAGAAACGGTGTTTATCACTTTTCCTCGTTTCAGACTGTCTCTAAAGGAGAGCCACATGGTACCCTGGCCCCTGTGATGACTCACAACGTGAGTACCTGCCCGCTCTCAGGGCTGCCACTGTCGTCTGTGGGTGTGGCGGCCAGCTCTGTGTCCTCCTGTGACAGCTTCCCACGTCCCCTCTAATGCCACCTCCTCCTCTGCGGGCATCATGCATACCTGCCCCAGGGATGGCCCTGAGGCCGCTTTTCCCATGGGCTTACCCCCAGCACCTCGTTCTGCCTCCACTCTGGCACCTGCGCTGAGAAGGGGAGAGGCTGGCCTGGGCCTCACGTGCCATCACAGCCCATAGGCTCCTAGGGTGGGCAGTGCAGAGGGCAGAGCTGTCCCAGCGGTGCGGCGTCCAGGGCTCAGCAGACCGTGAGGGGCTGGGGGGTAAACGTCGTCAGCTCTGTGGGCCAGCTCCACTACGCTGCCGTAGTACGTAAATGAAAGGATGAGGCTGCCTTCCGAGAAAACGTTATTTACAAAATAGGCAAAGAGGTGCATTTAACCCAAGGGCTGTAGTTGGCTGGCCCCTGTTCTGGGTTAAACCAGTGCCTCCAGGAGAAAGGACTAGAAAAGGCAGCAGAGGAGGAAGAGAGAAGCAGGAAAGCCTCTGATGCTCACGTCCTTGGGCTTCCTCTTCCCTCCGCTCGCCTCTTACCTCTCTAGGTTCAGTGAGGGGCTGGTTTCTCTCTTTTAATTCAGCGTTGTCCAAAAGAGCTTCCTGCCGTGGTGGGAATGTTCTGTGTCTGCCCTGTCCAGTGCAGCAGCCACTAGCTCCATGTGGCTACTGAGCCCTTGAAATGTGGCTAAGGCAACTGAGAAACTGAATTTTTTAAAATTTTAGTTAGTGTAAATTAAAATAGGCACATGTGGCTGGTGGCTGTCATGCTGGACGGTGCAGCCTAAATGGAAACGTAGACGGCGAGCCAGCATCACCCCTAACACAGAGACGAAGGAGGACGGCGCTTGAAGCAGTGATTGTCTCCTCCTCCTCATGGTTTTCTTTGGTGGCCGAGGGAAGGGCACGTGGGTCTGGGGGATACTTCACTTAAGAACTCCAGATTCAGCCTGGATCCTGGAAGAAGGAGGCGTTGTTATAAAGTGAAGTGAAAGAATATCAAGGGTCTCACAGGACGTGGGACCCGACCCTGAGCTCCACCATTTGGGAAAAAAACTTGGGGCCCCAGGGTAGGGGAGATACAAAAAAAAATTCTACTTCAAAAGACTTCATCAAAAAATGAAAATTTCTTACTCCTGTATAATTGTGGGGTGTGTTGGTTTTTTTTTTCAATTTCAGGAAGACCTAGACAGACGGTATAATATGGAGAAAGAGAAACTTTACAAGATCCGTTTACTACAGGTGAGTAAAAGCCAGAGCCAGCGAATCCGTCTAACCAAGTTTGTGTCCTGCAGCAGAACAGAGGGTAGTGGTGTCTGAGAGCTAGGAGACCCAGTCCTGGGGCTGCTGGCTGCTCTTCCGCCTGGAGTGGAACTTGGGTTAAGATGCTGGTTGATAACACCTCACATTGGTGTGTTGTTTCACTGGTGGGGAGCAGCTGTTAGCCTCACTTTCCACATAAAGAAATGACTCCAGTCTGTTGAGGACAAGCAGCGCTAAGTGCCAGAGCTAGGATTCAAGGTCTAATGTTTTTGTCTGGAACATTTCCTCTAAAGTTAAAGTGCCTGTTTAGCTCTCCTGGTTGTTCACCTTGGGGGTTGGTGAGAAGGCCATCAAATATGGGGAGGTAGGTTTTGAAGTTGGCTCTAAATTCGCAGAGAGTTAAAATTACATCCTAAAATCCCTTGCATTGCCAGGATCTGGCTCGTGGAAGCTCAAAAGCCAGGAGTTAACTTGCGTTGCACTTTGGCCTTAAACTCCTTTTGTTCTCTGGGAGGGAAGGTCAGGTTCTGGTGGGAGCCCCCAAAGGGCCGCAGGGGCCAGCGGGACCCTGTTTCTCCTTCCTGTGGCTCTTGTTTCTTCTGCTGAGCTCTTAAGTTAAACTTGGATGGGCCAACTTTGTCCTTAATACAGGGACACTGTACCAATCTCAGAAAGACAACAGAATTAATAAAGTCAGGACAGTACAGCTACATAATTGGACTCTTTTTGACTGTGTGCTTGCTCTGTATTCAGTGTTAAGCGAGGTCCCAGGAATAGTAAGTGGGGTGGCCCGTCCTCTGGGAGCTGACTGGCTGTTGGAGAACCAAGATGTGTCCATATACATCAAAGGACAAGGGAGTTTATATGCATATTTCACACCGCGGGCAGCTTCAGACTGGCTGGAGCGAAGCCACGGTAAAACAATGAGCCTGCCGAAGGCCCAGGCCAGGGCAGGGTCCGTGGGATGGATGGAAATGAACTGGCAGGTGAGAGACTGAGAAGCTACTTCTGATGGAATTTAGCATCAGCTGGATGAGAGAAGCAGCAGAGGCGGGATGGTGGGAGAATTTCTAACAGGGGCCCCAGGGTGGATCCAGATACTTGTGTTATTCATTGAGGAGACGCATAAAGGGGAAGGGGGATGGGAACGTGAACAGAAGTGTTAATGAGGCCTGTTTGGGGCTTTGAAAAGTTGCGGTACTTAACCAAGTAGGCATGTGCAACCAAGTCTAGTCTGAGCTGGAGATCTGGGTGTCAGCACTGTGTCAGTGAGAAGAGGCTCTGGACTGAAGCCTGGCTGAGAACAGCAGAGGAAGAGAAGGAATCCACCAGTGGAGACCAAGCGGGCTGCCAGAGGCCTAGGGAAACCAGAGCCCAAGTTCTCGTGGGGAGCTCAGCAGAGAGATGGGTAGATGTTGCCAGAAGTCAGGAAAGCTGGAAGCTGAGAATAACCATAGATACACAGAGAAGGTCTGTGGTGAGCCTGGCGAGAGTGGTTTCAGTGGGTGCTGGGAGCAGCCAGCAGCAGTGGGTAGAAGGGTGCCTGGAGGAGAGTGAGGGGCTCAGAGGCACCGAGGGTCCCTGGCTTTCAGGAAGTTGTGCCGTTAGAGGGAGGAGAAGGATGATGGCTGAAAGGTGATCAGGGTTTAAAGAGGGGCCTTTTAAGGGGTGAGGAACTTGAACATACTTAAATGCTGACGTGAAGAAGCCAGTAGCAAAGGAGAGGTTACAGATGCAGTCAGGGATGGTTTGGCTGATGCAGACCCCAGTTCATTTCACGGTGAGGAGGGGATTGCCAGCAAGGTACTTCAGGAATAAGTGGTGGGATCTCTTCAAGCAGGCTGAGGGGTGTGGACTTTAAGGAGGCAGCAGGGGCATCTGTCAGTCCCCATCATCTGGGAAGACCCCCATCGCCTGTTCCCCACCTGGCGCTGCCGGAATCAGCTGCTCTAGAGCCCTCCTGGGCGGTGGGCTGGCTGGGGGCACCATCCACAAATGCCCTCCCCATTCAGAATCTTCCTTCCCGATCCATTAATTTGACACCTCCTGGGGCTCCTGCTCACTGCCACACCTCCACGTGTTGCCAGGTAGAGCTGGAATCTGGGATGGGGAAGACAAGCCACCGCAGGGTTGTGGGCCTGTGTACCAGGGCATGTGTCTGGCACAGGGCAGGTGGGGATGCTGTTTCGGCTTCCCAGAGGGCCATGTGTGGCCTTTTCACCAAGTAGTGCTGTCTCCCTTCCCTTTTGCATTTAGGCTCGAAGAAACCGAGAAATAGCAATTTTGCATCGCAAGATTGATGAAGTGCCCAGCCGAGCCGAGCTGATACAGTATCAGAAGAGATTTATTGAACTCTACCGCCAGAGTAGGTGCCTCCACCACACACAGGCTCCCGAGGCTGCCCTGGGTGGGGAGGAGGGGTGGTGCTGGAGGCGAGGGGCTCCGTCCTGCTTGAGTGCAGTGGAGCGTGCATCACAGCACCGTCCGTGCCAGCCACCCCCGGGAAGGGCTCCCTCTCCTAGTCAGGCCCACTCGGCACTCACTCCACGTAGCCCGGATCCCAGGAGCAGCACCGTGGTGCTCTGACGCCCTCCCTGGACAGTAGCTCTTAGAGTCGTGCTTCCAGCCCACCCTCCTCCCCATCAGCCATCAGGCTCCACCTGCTAGCTTCGCAGGGAACCTCGTGACCCCTGCATCTCTAGATCAGTCCTGGCTTGTTCTTCTCCGCAGGCTTTCTTGTTCAAGTGGTCCTTGCCTTTAACAATGTTGTGCTCACCCAGGGATCCAGACCAGGTCTCTCAGCCTGAATCAGTGCCCACATCTCATCCGGCTCAGGGTGGCCCTCAGAGCTGTTGCTGCCTTTGTGTTCCTGGTGCTGCGACCTTAGCTGGCCTGCAGCCCCTTCTCTGAGTCCCTCATCCACCCATCTGATTATATGACTTCTCTCCAGGGGCAGATCCTCAGGAGCTCCCAGGACCCACTGAAAAAAGCCTCTCTCCTTCTACCTGGGATCCTCCGAGTCTAAGTGGCCTGCCTGGAGGGCCCCATCCTTGCTCTCAGTCCCCACTCTGGCCGCCCTTGCCCACACGCTGCCTCTGAACACACCATGTACTTGGACGTCCTAGGCCTTGATGACTCCTCTTCCCTGTGCCTGGGACCCCTTCTCAACTCTGTCAGCCAGAATCCTTCAAGACCCAGCTCAGATATCCCTGTAAACAGGTCCTGGACCATCCCCCTTCCTCAAGACTCCCATGCTGGCTTGTCTCCTGGGTCTTCAGACTCAACAGGTGCAGAACGGAATTCAGCCTCCCCAACCCCTTTTCTCTTGGTCTCTGGGGTAGCTGTCAGGCCAAGCCAGACCCCCCCCCCCATCTTAGTCTTCTCTGACTCCTGCTGCTCTGACAGTCCTGTTTCGGAGTAACGGTCACGTCCATTTCTCCTGGACTTCGTGGCTGCCTTCTCATCACTGCCCAGAGTCTAACCCCTTCTCCGCACTCTTGTCTGGGAGGTCTTTACTCACACAGAAATTTGATCAATTTTCACTCTTGCTTTAAAACTTTAATATTTAATAGCTCCCCACAACTGGATGAACAATTCTCTAGAATTCTTAAAACACTGACCAAAGTCCCTGCCTCATCTGGGCCCTGCAGTTCCCACTTGGCACAGCTGTTAACTGGGCAATAAAGTTTAAAGTTGACTGACTGGTTTAAAGAATCAGGTCTTGAACATTAGTGGCAGTTGCCCAAGAAACCCGAGAGTGCCCAGGCCTGCCCTGCCTCTCTCTGCTCCCTGACCTGTGCTGCTCTAGAGGGACCCTGTGTTCAGGGAGCAAGAGCCAGTGGGAACAGACCCCATTGTGGTATCGGCTAAGTCTGACCACCGTTAGGCATCAGGAGCATTAGCTGCAGCTAAACTGAAGCTGGCAGCTTAGGCCTGAAGCGCGACAGCGAGCCCAGGGTTCGGGATTTTGTCTCCCTCTGGCTACCATGGGAATTCAGAACAGGGAGGAAGTCACACAGGCTCAGAGCAGAAAGGCTGTGCCTGAGCAGGAACCCTTCACCCCCGTGACCGGTTCCCTGGTGATCATGGCACCCCAGAGAGAAGGGGAGGTGGGCAGAGAGAAAAGCGGTTTTATGGGTAAAGATGTGGGAGACTGGTAAGTAAGGCCCCCTTCGTCATGTGCATGGGGAGATGGGGGGAGAATCCACACGTATTAGGCGTGTGTTCTGCCCTGGGGTGGGTGTGCCATTTGCCCAGTGGGTGTTCTGGAGGGCCTGTTGCCTAGGCCTGAGCTAAGCACGGGGTTACAGAAGTTACAGGCGGTGGGAGGGAGGGAGCCACACAGACAGGAAGAGGTGGCGCAGTGTCTTCCTCACTCCCACCACCTTCCCCCTCGGACCCCTCACCTGGAGGACTGCTGGGAAACCCACCTGTCCCACACGCTGACAGGGAGCACCTTCCGCCCCTCGTCCTGGCTGGCCTGTCCCAGCTGCCACAGCCATCAGCCTGCAGCAGCCCGGCCCCCGCGCCCCTTGGGGTTTCCGCACAGTCAGGAGCGCGTGCCAGCCCTGGCCAGTCCAGTCTGTGTCCGGCGGTGTGCCCCAGCAGGGAGAGGTCACCCGGGGTCATTTTGATGCGTTTTCTTCCTCACGTGCCGATTTCCTTGCCTTTACAGTTTCAGCAGTGCACAAAGAAACCAAGCAGTTCTTCACTTTATATAACACCCTGGACGACAAGAAGGTTTATTTGGAAAAAGAGGTAAGAGCCTTTATAAAAAGAAGACAGCTTCATCGGTTGAGCAGCTCCTAGTGCCATGGGCCCCAGGCAGATCACGTGAGCCTGGTGTTGGGGCATGCCCAGCGTATGTGGGAGGAGCACCTGTCACATGCCCAGGGCTGGGGTGCAGAGTCGAGAGCTCACACTGCCGGGCAAGGTTGGGGGGATGGTGGGCAGCGGTCGTGAGCGCTGGGTGAGAGGCGCCATCATAGAAAGCAACGGTGGGAGCTCGACAGGTACCTACTGAGAGGGGCCTGGAGGTGGTGAAACTTTAGTTTGGGTTTGAAAGGAAGGAGAGAACCAGCTAAATGCAATGGGGAGGGCGGAACATTGGAGCGGACGTGGGGAAATAGCTGTTTAATCGTTAGTAGCAGACGGAGGCATGAACTAAAATTGTAAACTTGAAGGCAGGGGTGAGAGGGCTGGCCGTGGGCAGCCCCCTCCCACATCACTCTGACTCTCACGGGTCAGATCCGCTGGTGATTCGGGGCTCCCGCGATGGAAGGCACCTGACTGGGGCAGCTGTACAGCTGTGTTTAGAACAAAGAGCAGTTCTGTATTCACGGCAGCAGCTCGGCGTGGTGGCGAGAGCAGGAGCTGTGGGGTCCCCCAGGCGTGGGCTTCAGTCCAGCCTTGTTTTCCTCACCTGTAAAGTGGGGGCAACTCCTGCTGTGATGGAGACAGCATGAGAAAATGCCAATGAAGCTCCCTGCACACAGTGATAGCTGGGAGCCCCAGCCTCCCCGCACCTCGAGGGTGACAGAAGCTGTTTCTATTTTATCATCACCCTGCAACCTGCACTAATTACCACTTTAATAGCAGTATTACAGGTGTATCTTCCACCTGGACCCAAACGGAGGCATCAGTATTGTCACCTCTACTGCTTGTTGTCAATCAAACCAGATCAGCCTCTGCCCTCCTGGAGGCCCTCCTTGAGGAGGGGTGGGTTCTCTTTCCTCTGTGTCCAGCGCCTTACATGGTGATGGGCACATAACAGGCACTTAGTTAATGCTTGAATAGATGAGTTGAGGGCATTTGGGGGGATTTATGTCAGACCTGGGGGCTAGATGTGCTGCACACCCTGGCCTTGGGGTCCCCCCACCCAGTGAGGGGAAGACTTGCCAACCCTCACTCAGGGACAAGCCAGCCCCTCCTGAGAAAGCCTGGAACCCCGTTGACCTCCCTTCATCAGCAGTGTTTAAAGTTGTTGCATCCTTTTACAAACTAGGAGGACTTGGGGGTTCGTTCCAAGCCACGTTAACTCAGTTAGAACTTTGCATTTGCTTGCACGTATATTTTATTCCCAGTCTATTTATGCCTGTGGTATTTTCGCTTTCAACATGCCGGTGAAGTCACAAGGACAAGAATATCATCTCCGTGTTACAGACCACAAACCTGAGTCCCAGTAGAGGAAATGCCTGGTCCTGAGCTCACAAGCTGGAGTCACTGATGCAGCCAGAAAGGGGACCTAGGTTTCTGGACTCCAGACTCAGAGCCCTGCCCCGACTGTCACCGGGGCAGATGGAGGGTCCCAGAATGTGGGCTAAGCATTTCCATGGGAGAGGGGCCTTGAGTGGTGCGAGCCCACGGAGGAGGCTCTGAGCCGCCCGGCAGCTGGCTGTGCTGGCAGAGAGATTCCGTGGGAGGGGGTAGGGTGGGCACAGTTCTCACTCTCCACCAGGACCATCTCCGCTAAGCTGACAGCCCTGAAAATAAAGTGCAGGGTTTGGCCAGATAGAAGGGGCTGTGATACAGCTTCCCCCAAATACCCCAGATGTGGGTGTGGGCTTCTCAGCTGGGGTTTAGGGCCTGTCAGGGAGCCGCTTCCTACATTCCTGTGGTCAAGGTTGTCAGAAGATAGGCACTTGGGGAAAACTACAGGGCTAAGAACATGTTGCTCCCCCCCCACGCTACTTTCCATCCATGTGAAGAAGGTGTGGTCCTTTCAGAAGCGGTGTCCACAGACAAAAGACAAGCTTTCAGGGGTCAGGGTAGCACAGGGATCTGTCAGCCTTTGCTTATTGTTCTGTTCTTTCTGTTTTTTCCTGTCCTCCCCAGATCAGCCTGCTGAACTCAATCCATGAGAACTTCTCACAGTAAGTGCTGGCTGACCCCCTTCGTGGGTACCACGAGTGCCCCGTCGGTGCCCGCTCACCTCCGTCCTGCAGGGTGTGATCGAGCAAGACTCAGTGCTTGGGGCGGGGTTCTCGCACTTTCACCCCGGCTGCCACGTTCAGATGAGTCCTGGCTGACGCACTCCTTGAGTTCTTGCAAAAACGCAGTGATGGAAGAGTGAATTCTTAAAACCCCAAGGAATAGCTTAGGGAAAACGTGAACTTCCAACTAATGTATCTATACCTAACTACTGGAATCTCTTTGTAGATGACTTTTGTTCTGCTACAATTAGATTACTGCCCCTTGTTCTTGGGCACAGAGAGATGCTTTGAAATTTAGATAATGAAATAATCTATGTAATTTTTTTTAATGTTTTTCAAATCTCATGGTAAATTTTGCTTTTAAGTTAATGTGCATCCTCTCAACTGCTTTGTTCAGGTATCAGTGTTTTCTCCAAAAATTGGACGGCAAGGCCCATCTGTACCCACATTATACCAGCCCTCAGGCCTGCCCATTGAACCACCCACCATCTGGGCAGCCCCAGGGTTGGCTGGCTGTCCAGCCGGCTTCCTCTCCCTGCAGCAGTGATCTCCTCCAGCCCCTGGCAGGTGACCAGGGACCAGGATCTCAGTGGACTACAAGCACTAGATTTTAAGCTTCCTTTCTAATTAAAAACAAACAAAAATCCAACAGCTCCCTTTAATATTCAGATTCAGTTAGTGCCTTAACAGCCTTGTGACATTTCTAGAAATGGGGCCTTCATCTTTGTGCCCTGTCGTTGAGAGGGGCTGACGTTTGGGCGCTTTTGTGGCGAATTCTGCTCTCCGGCAGGAACTCTCAGTCCGTGTCTCTGTGTGCTCGGATCCTCCTGGTGTCATTCCCTCTGCAGAGCGGGAGGGGAAGGGGAACATTTGAGGACATCAGGAAATTCACTCATTTAGCTACTGCTCCTGGAAATAGGACCAGGTTTCCCAGCCTGGTTTTAGGAAAACCTCAGAAAACATCTACCAGTCTTGAGCAGTGCTTCTAAATCCACAGATGTTTAAAAACCAGGTGGTATTCATTTCTTAAGCAGTACCTCAAAGTAAAAAATATATTTTTTGTTATTTTAGCCACATTTGATTTTATTTAAGAAAATACATATTTAAGAAAACTGTAGGGAGGAGAGTGGAGATGGGGAGGCAAAGAAGATTAATATTCAGTTACAAGACCAGGTTGGTTTTCACGCCTTCCTCAGAGTTGGGAGTCATTGGCTTCTGGGATCGCAGGGGCCCCACAAGTCCATCCTGTCCTGCGAGGGCCTGCTTGCTCTGGGGCACATCTGGGAACAGGGCTGACCCCTTGGGGCCTCCCGCTTTTCTCAGGGTCCTGTTTGCCGGTCATACCTCTGCTTGTCTTTCTTTCAGAGCCATGGCCTCCCCTGCTGCCCGGGACCAGTTTTTACGGCAGATGGAGCAGATCGTAGAAGGAATTAAGCAAAGTCGGATGAAGGTCAGATGGCTTCTTTTCTGTAATGTGGCCTGGGTTGCACACTGGTGATGGAGAAGGCCCTGGGGAGCCAGGCCTCTTCCGGGTGTTCTAAGAATGTGCTCTCAGTTCTGAGGACACATCTCAGTGTGTCTGCGGAGGCTCCCAGCTTGCCTCTGGCCCTGCAGTGGGCAGGCCAGCTCCACGGGCTGCCTGCCCTGGTCATTCAGACGCCGCTTTTGGCAACAGCTCCCAAGGAAGGACTGAACACCCACCGTGTGCCACGCACTGTGTAAATCCCCCTAAAAGCCCTCTGAAGTGAGCATTGCCCCCCGTTTCACCAGCCAGGCTTTCCTTCCCGCCCAGAACCGTTTCCTCACTGGGTCTTCGGTTCCCGACCTTCTGCTGTGAGGCATTTGTTTCTTAGCAGCTCAAGAGCATTTTGGTTTTCAGGAACCCCCTATGAAAATGCAAATAATTGCTGAATTCTGCTCAAGTGAGAGGATATTGAGCCTCAGTAGTTAGAAGAGGAAAGTGAGGAACTGGGAAGCCGTGTGGGAGCTCCCAGGATGAGCTGGCTTAGCGGGGAGTCGCCCGGCCTTGGGGCGGCATCGGGGCTGGCTGCTTCGGGCACTGCACGCGCATGGTCCGTCAGTGGGAAGGCAGACTTGCTGCCGGTCTGGAAGCCATTCGCACAGCCGCAGCCCCCCACTACTGCGACCGGGCAAACCCTAACCAGCACTGCCAGTGTCTCTTGCCCTCCGTCCTGCTTAAAAGCCCTGTCACACACCTGGTCCTCAGGCGCAGTGGTGAAACCTTCTGGGGACCTGGGGCGTCTCCTCTAACAAACTTGGGGCAGAGGAGTCCAGTGAGTGAGGCCAGAATGTCAGCACATGAGAGAGAGGATTGCCTGCAGGATCTGTCATAAAAACCTACTCAAGAAAGAGAAATTCAAGCTGCCTGTAATCCCATCTACAAGAGGTGAACTAAGGCAAAAGCTCACCAGACCCTTTTGTTTGTAGCTAAATATTAATCTCCCCATTAAGGACTTCAGTAAAATGATGTCAGAGGAGCAAATATATATGTGTGTGTGTGTGTGTGTGTGTGTGTGTGTGTGTGTGTGTGTGTGTGTGTGTGTGTATCACTGATGGCAAGACTGTTCAGCCACAGAAGAGAGGGCAGAGGTGAGGCAGCTCCTGTCCATGTGCGTGGACACTCACCCAGGGTGGGACAAGCTCTCATGCGAAAGGGAGTAGGGTCCCTTCTTGATGATCTGGGGTCTGAGGGAGGTGGAGGTAGAGGGCAGGGAGCCTGGCCAACCCAAACCTCAGCATGGAGGTCTTCCCGCCCTGCCGCGCTGGTCCTCGGGGAGCCGCTCTCGCCCACAGTGAAGAACAACAGGAAGTTGTCCTCCCTGATTGCTAGCAATGCATTCCTGGGGAAGGACGTGGGCCTGACCCCTTCATTCTCTCCATCCTCCCCCTGGCTTCATGCTGTAGGCACCTCACTGCTGTCTGTCTCCCTGACAAGGTAGCCGGGCACCAGATGGGTGGTCAGGTCCCCTGGCAGGGAGGGCTGTCTTCTCTCGTTTGTGTGGCTGGTGGCCAACACAGCACCTGATCCGTGGCAGGCACCCAAGAACTATTTGTTAAACGAGTGAATTCATTCAGTCCACTCCAAAAGCAGTTCTCAACACAGGCTCCAGGTGGGGTTTGAATATTGACTGGCCCCTGGATGGAGTAAGTGTGTCCGCTGTGCACAACAGCACTTATGTGGATGGATGTCTTTGTTGTATTTGTTTAAAAACAAAAACAAAAACAGAGCCCTCTGTGCCCAAGTGCCATGCTGGCCTCTGCTCAGATAGGTATGGCAGGGGAGTGTGTGTCCCCCAGAGCACAGGTGGCCCCAGAACTGGCAGGTCAGCGTGTATGTGAAACAGACCAGCAGTGAGTACAAGTAACAGTATAGGTGTCTGCGGTCCGTGGGAGGGTCCTGAGCAAAGAGGGAACCACCGATCCATTTCTTGTGAAATTGTTTGTACTCATACACACAGAATGGCAATAGTTAAATGGAACGGTTAGCCCAGTGATAGAACTGCTGAATAAATTTCCGTCTCTCTGCAATATCACGCAAATAAGTTAACCTCAAAAGTGATGCATGAAAGGAGATCCATGAAAACGTCAGTGACAGTGGTCAGTTGGGGGTTGCCAGCCGTCTTTGGTCAGAGCGTGCCTTTTCATCAGTGTTCCCGAAATGTCTCAACAGATGGAAAAGAAGAAGCAAGAGAACAAAATGAGAAGAGACCAGTTGAACGACCAGTACTTGGAACTGTTAGAAAAACAGAGGCTGTACTTTAAGACCGTGAAAGAGTTCAAGGAGGTAAGAGGCGGCTGGGCGGGGCCTGCAAGGCTAAGGAGAGAACTGTGCTCACCTCCAGAGCAGCGTTTGAAAACCAGACAGTTCTCTGGTTTTCCGCTGGTCTGTACTGGGAAATACCAGGTTGGCGGTGAGATCTTACAGTCCAGGTGCGTGAGGAGCTCACGATCGCCTTGTTCTGTGGCCCATCCTGAGGCCCTAGTTGAAGTTCTAGGCAGCATCACTTCATCTTCCTAACTCAGTAAGCACATTAGACTCACAGGTAAAGGGCACCATCTGCTCACATTCAGGCGCCACCTTGAAAGAGCTAGAATTGTCCCTCCTCCCAGTCTTAGGCTGGGGAGGGAGCAGCCACATGGGAGGAAAGTGGACGGGGAGGACGGCCACCTTGGGGTCAGACCTGCCGCTCACCAGCTGTGCACCTGCGTCGGGACTCAGCCCTCAGCTCCCTGGCAGGTGGGGTCTGTGGGCAGGGCAGAGAGGAGAGCTCCGGCACTGGGTCTGGCACCCGGGACCCCCACGCTCGGCTGAGTGCCATGTGCGCCTGCCTTTTCCCCCTGCATCTCGGCACGGTTCCTCACTGTCATTCCAGAAAGAAAAGTGCCCTTTTCTTAAGAGCTTTTCCAGAAGGGAGATTTCATTCTGTCAGTTGCCGAGATCGCAGCAGCTTCATTTTTGGGAATTCCTTCCCCCTTTCTAATGTAAACCCATGTGGCTTTAGTGAATTTGGAGATTGGTGAAAATACAGGGGTGCTAAAGATGGTTATATCCTGGTGTGTGGGCTGCAGAACAGAAAACAGTCTTTCCATCCCAATCATTTTGTCCTTGCATGTTTTTAACACTCTTCTGTCTCCCTCCCTCCCTCCCTTCCCCGTCTTGTCCTTCTCTACTTCTCCTTCCCTTTTTAGTGACTTAACTTTTGGGAGCCACAACCATAGGCACTTCAAAATCAACCTCTCACCCTTTCAATAAATGTTCCTCCAGCTCCTGCTGTGGCCCTGGGAATACACAGGTCATAAGAGAGACCAGGTCCCTGTGTCCAGGGTGGGCGGGGGAGACAGATAAGAAGCTAGGAAACAAACCCCCGAAAACAAGTAATCACAAGTCAGAAGTAATTCCAGGCTTTGCCCTGGGGGGACTAAGGTAGAGGGTGTGGTCAGGGGAGAGCACTCTCCGGTGAGAAGGACTTGGCCTTGGGCAGAGCCCGAGTGCTTCGGCCAGGGAGCAGCACGCTTGAAGGCCCAAGGCAGGGAGCAAACTGCGACCCGCTGTTTTTTTCCCCCCAAATAATACGTAAAGAGAGAAGGCCCAGAGGAGGGAAATTACACTTCCAATGTTGCTCTGCTCTTTTGACAGCAAAGACAAAAAGCAGGTGAGCTGGGCAGGGTAAGGATAAGCTGTCAGAATCAAAGCAAATAAAAGTGAAATGGAAAAGCTCATTCTGGCACCGCAGGCTCTCGGGGCTAAAGGCTAGGTTGACCTGCAAAGCAAACGGGTCCCTCAGATGCATGAAGATCAAGATTTCTGTATTACCACTGCCTTGGGCACAGCCGCTCCCAGTCAGAGACCAGGAAGGGGGGGTGCGGGGGCGTCCCTCGGAGCCCGTGAAGCCCCCAGGACCAGGGGGCTGGCCTCCATTTTCTTCAGTCCAAAGCAAGTCAGGAAAAAAAAGGGAGGGCGAGTGTACTACGCCCTTCAGACAGCTAAATACATTTCATTGAAAGGACTCACCTTTAAAAATAAAACAGCCTGTCCTCTTGTTCTTTGATGTTAAAATTGCTTTTCTCTTATAAAATGATGGTGATAGTGTGTACTCTTTTTTTTTTAACCACTTAACTTGGCAAAAAATTTGAAATTAGCAGTCACGTGTTAGTGTTCCCAAATCCTGAATCTTTTTTCGAGCTCCTCCAAGGTAATGTGGGGCCAGTTGTTGAGGAGAAGGTAGTGGCAGAGGCTTGCTTGCTGCCCCCAAATTTCCAGCCCATCCCTTCAGCTCCAATAATTCTGCTGTTTTACGTATGCAGTTCCATGTAGAAGAAAAACAGATTGGCAAGTCAGACGTTCCCCCCAGGATGGCATCTCCTCCCGGAACACTCTGTTCTGCCTCCTTTATCTGCCTCCCCAACCTGCTCAGTTATCTGCTCCCAAGTTGTGAATTCTCGCTGCGTCCTGGTCCCCAGCACCGTGCTAGGCAATGATTATTCTCCACACGGAGCACGCTGTCGTCCACAGCATGGTCTTGGCCACCACGTTCTTCCCTGTACGGGCTCAGCTGACTCTGTGTGAGTTGAGCCCCCACGACGCCCACAGGCTCCTGCAGGCACCGGGTCTTGCTCTCGCTCTGACTCCAGCCTCCCCTGGGATCCAGGCCTTTTTAGTTAGAGACATTGGGTTATCTCTAAAACCCCCCTGCCAGCTTGCCCTGGGAGGGGCTGTTAATAACACGTCTGCCGGAAACCGCACATACTCTGGAACCACCTCAATTGCAGTATCACTAATTGTGTTTGTAAAGCACAGCCTCTCACAAGGTCACCAAAGCAAGGCTGAAAGTCAAGCCTAGCGCTGACAGCTGCCAGGCATAGGTGCTTATGAAGCTGCTTTGGGCACGTACCCTCGAGCAAGCTGAACTCACTGCGTCCGGCACATCGCGAGCCCCACGCAGTCTTCAACAGGGGAAGAAGCAGAGACTAGGAGACATTTTTCCCTTTTCTTCTAGAAAGAAATCCCTAAAGGGCCCTTTCTGTATTTGCTTTGAGCAGACAGCCAGTATCACTCTGTGGTCTCCCAAAAGGCCTCCAGGAGATCACATGAAGTTTAATCAGCGCTCACACACCCCGGGTGACAGCCTCGGATGTCTTTACTGAAAAGCTCAAGCGTCACCTCAGTGTGGTGCGGGGAACAGAATCGCCCCTGGTGGGGACCCTCTCATAGCACTGTCTTGATGCTTCTGAGGGTTTTGTTGTGGGTTTTTTTTTTTTCATTGAAAAGGTGAGGTGGGTGACAGTTGAAACTAATTTATTTCTTTATTTGTCGTTTTATGGTTTTATCTCTTTATTATGGAAGTTTTCAAAAATACACAAAAGTAGAGAAAATAGTATAACAACATAATAGTGTGACTCTCTGCCTGTTCTTCTCCCGTCCTTACCCCTCCCCAATTTTTTTGGACGGGGTAGGGTGGAAGTTTCTTCCCCCCAAGCAAATCTCAATAACTCATTTTAAATAAAACTTCCTTGTTCACTTTTCTAACGCAACAGATATTACCCGTCTTCACCTTTGTTCTCTTCCCACCCCCAGGAAAAACTGGACTATCTCCCCCTCCAAAAACATGTGCTTAAAAAGTGTCAAGAGTATCTTGCATCTGGCAGAATAATTCAGCCTTACCCCCCACCCGGAGCCGAGCTGCCTCCCCAGCTCTGAGGGGCCCATGAGCGTAAACCCCCCGGGTGAGCCGCACTTCGGTGAAACCCGGGTCTCTGCATCAGAAAGCAAGGGGTGGGCACCTGGCCCAGTCCTGGGAGCGGGAAACACCGACCTGGGGGGTCTTGGATGCAGAGGCTTTAAGGGTGACAGAAAACCTTTCTTCCACACTGAATGGATCTCTAGGGAAGCATGACGACCAGAGGCTGTGACCACCCATTCAGGCCCTTCTCACCGTCAGTCACACTCACCCCTCACTGTAAACAGGGCTCCGTGTGGCTGGCCCGGGAAGGGGTGGAGCTGGTTTGCTAGCAGCTGGAGGTATCCTGAGCTGTCAGGGCCACTCCAAACACGGGGGAAGGAGCAGGCACAGTGAGAAGCTTTGGAAGAAGGGACTACAAAGTGGCGGCGGCCTTGCACCGTGGGCGTCAGGTTCCGCATGCAGGGCACGGGGCAGTGACCTCCCTCAGTAGTGTGCCTCAGCACATCCAGTAATGCGTTCCTACAGCTCATTTCATGTCCCTTGATGCTTACCTTTCACCCTGTCTTCTGTGGGTTTCCCTCTAGAAGCCAGTGATGTTCTTCTTTTTGATGGGGGGGTGGTAATTAGATTTTTACTTACGTATTTCAATGGAGGTACTGGGGATTGAGCCTGGGACCTCGTGCTTGCTGAGCACGCGCTCCACCACCGAGCCGTCCCCTCCCCCAGCTGAGGGTAGTCTCAACTCCAGTCTCACCAGCGTAGGAACTTCCCTAGCGCTCTGCCTGCTGTGTGACCTGGGGCTGCCTTTTACAACCCCTGAGGCTGCTTTACAGACCCTTCCTCACTGCAGGGGTCCAAACTGGCACAGAAAGCGCCTGCTTTCTGCTTCTGCCCCCTGAAGATTTTAGAGGCTTCAGGACGTCTTTTGGAATGACAGTGCCTGCTCCTCTCCTGTTCTGAGTCTGCCAGTCCGGAAGCGAGTTGTCACCGTAGCTTTTGGGGCACTGAAGGCCAGGAAGTGGCCGTGCAGGGGGCAGTGTGCTGGGAGGCTGCTTCTCGGGGCGAGGGCGGGAGAGTGAGGCCACCAGCGCCTCAGGCGGCGCTGAAGCGGCCCTCGCCAGTCCCACCCTCTCCGCTTCCCCTCCAGGAGGGCCGCAAGAACGAGGTGCTGCTGTCCCAGGTGAAAACCAAGGCCTCCTGACGGCCCCAGGCAGCGTCCTTGTCATCGGTGTTTTCTCATGAGCGCCATGCGTCAGCTACAGGTGGTGAGCAGGTTCTGAAGGTCGCGGAGGGAAGACGCAGGTGACGCTCTGCACGCCCCGGGTACTTTATTCCCCTCTTTGCTTCCGTTCACCTCTGTGTCGGTTGTCGTCGGTGGAATCAGACGGTGTAGACGCTGCGGCTTGGATGACACCCCATCATCCGAGGAAGAAGTGCGGGCAGTATTTGTTCTCTGTGTCGATTCAGCTTTTATTTCTCCGGTAACGTTGCACATTTGAAGTGCCCTGTATTTGTATGGACTCAGAATAAAGAGGAATCCACTTGTTCGGTAGATGTTAATTAAGCAAACGCTGAGGGGTAAGGCCCTGCACCTCAGGCTCCCAGCACGAGGCCCCGGAGCCTGACCACTGGGGTATTTTTTCCTTTAAGTGAACAGAGGCTCTCAGCTGCATGACCAGCCCACATGAGTGCTGGTCACTTGGACCTTTCACTTGCCCACGGTGCCTTTTGTCCCTGGTGCTCAGGCCCAGCCAGCAGGCTTCCTGGTGCAGCAGCTCCAACGGAAGCACAGCGTCTGCCCTCGGCTTCAGCCTCACACCCCACTCACGGGCATCTCACGAAAAATTGAACACAGGGGCCTCGGCATAAGGACATTTAAGTCAATGACACCTTCCCTCACCCTGTCCACCTGCGAGTCCCAGCCAGCCAGGGGGTGGTCCTGTGCGTCCCCCCCGCCAAGCACATCACTCTGAGCACGGGTCGGGGCTGGGCCTGGCAGGGACACACACGCCAGTCACTGCAGTCCCTGCCAGGGTGTAAGTCCCGGAGGGACGGCCAAGAGCAGGTGCCAGAGGGCGTCCCAGCAGGAAGAGCAGCTCGGTGTGCGGAGACCCAGGAGGCTTCTTGAGCAGGCAGGGTCTGGGCCTGAAGGGGACACAGCTTAATAGCAGAGATTGGTGGGAAGGCCGTTTTGGATAAAGTACAACTGTGATGAAAACCCAGGAGGGGAAGGTACAACGCTTGCTTGCTGGGAGAGAGCGGGCGGGCCGGTCTCTGCAGGAGACCAGTCCAGAAAGGTAGGCTGGATCCGCCTTCGGAGGGCCTGGAGGGGAGGGCAGAGGGCTTGACTCTCCCCTCTGGAAATGAGTAGTCCATCCCAGAGGGGCTCTTCCTGCCTCGGCCCGCGGGAACCCGGGCACAGGTCAGTGCGCCCCAGCGCCAGGTCTGCACTGCATTCCGCACGGACCTGGCGTGTGCACCAGTCAGCGGGCTTGGACCACGAAACATAAAAGCTTCAACAGGCAAATAGGGCGCCCTGTGCGGTGCCAGGAACATCCGGCTCATCTGAGTTCCCTAAGAAGCCTGCCGTGGGCAGACTTAGAGAAGCTCGTGCTGGAGTGACCGCATCCCCGGGTGTCAGTGCTGCCCCGCCAGGCCTGCCTGGTGAGGAGGGCGCTGCTCCTGGGCCGTACGCGTCCCCTGGCCTGGGCCCTGGGCCCCGATCTGTGTGGATTTTGTAAGGGATCAATGACGCTGAAGGGAGGGATTGCCAAAGAGCGCGTGGCGCTCCCAGGGCCGGGGAGGAGGTGATGGTTTGACTCTTCAGTTGTTTCAGGCTCAGGGAAGCATCTAGGGGATCCTGTTGAGAAGCACATGGATGCCCTCCCTCACAACAGCGTTTGAGCAGGTAGATTGTTCTCGTATCTGTCCGCATGTGGTAGGGAGGAGGGATGGGTGATCACGTCCGGGGTTACGGGTCCCCTCCTCTCTGCATGACTGGGGAAATGCTGGCACCACTCATCCAAAGCCACTGATCATTCTTTTTAACATGGTGGTGCTACCTGCGGACCGTATTTCTAGAGTTGCATTCGGTTTGGTTTGGTATAGGGAGGTCTGGGCAGGTATCTTCCCTTTCTTGAATCCCCAAGGCCTGAGGCAGATAATGAATTAGTTTCTGTTCCTTGAATGCATTTTGAATTAAACTCCAGAAGCAGGTCTTAAGAATCCTGTTTGCTGCAGATAACCCACAGAGCGGATGGTGCCTTTGTGAGCAATGAGGACATTAAATGTGCTTTACCGTCAGGCCTTCGAGGCAGAGGAGAGGCCCCGAGGCCACGATCATTTCAGAAGCCCTCCAGGGCGGCCCTCCCAGGACTGTGCTTTGTGTACCCACAGAGCACAGCTGTGTGTCCTGCTAAGCCCCCAGGCTTTTCCGGAGCCGAAAAGTAAGGGGGAAACGTCCCTAAGCTACTTTTGTGGAATGTGTTCTTTAGGAGGAACAAGGTTCCCCCAGGGAGCATTGTGCCTGCTGGTCAGAGAGCTTGCTGACGGGCCGGTGTCCCGGGATCTCGGGGTGCTTCTGGGTCCCGGGGCTCCCCTCTGTCCACATGCGCCTCGGGGAGTACAGGGGGCTGCTCTGGTGTAAATGAACTCAGAGCTGCCGTGAGCAGGCAGGACAGGAGAGATGATCACGAGGTGTCTGGGGAGACACCCGGGACGTAGTTTTTGCCGTCCTCGGCCTGGGTTCAGGCTCACGGGTCACGGGGGTCAGGTGGTCACACTGGAGGGAGGCACCGACCTCTGGCGAGCAGCTGTGAGGCTGCGCGTCAGGGGCCTGTCCCCTTTTATCTCAGGGCACATCCCGAGGTCGTCAGGCCTGAGCTCTCATTAGAAGTGATGGTTCTAACTGGGTGCCGGTTCGTTGCCCACGTTCTGTGGAGACCCAGGTCCTGCCACATCCACCGGCCCTGGCAGCGGAACCAGAAGGCGGAGGCGCCAGTAGGCAGAAGGCCTTTCCCAGGCGGAGGAACCGCCCCTGACAAACGCTGCAGCTCCCGGGCCTCCTGAAACCGGGAGCCGGGCTCGGGGAAGGCCTCACACAGCCCTCCTCCGAGACCTCGGGCTGCCCCGTCGATGGCCCCGATCACGTCTGCAGCCCTGCCTGGAGCACACTGTGCGCAGTCCGCAGCGGCCTGAAGCCTGTGCCATCCCGGGCTCTGTCGCCTCGGCACGGCCTTGTCTCCCCCTCCCTGCAGGTGAGCGGTGACCAGTGTAAGAGGGAGGTAGGCCCTTCAGCAGGAAGTGTTACCAGTTACTTTGGCGGAGCCCGAGGTGCAGTTAGCTGGCTTGGAAGACGCTCTGAGGAAGGACACTTCGGGAGGTGCTTTATGATTCACTCCTGGCCAGCGGTGGCCTCGAGGGAAAAGCCCGACTCACAGCAGAGCCGTCCAGCAGAGCGCCCCCGTGGGGTGCGGGGCCTGCCCGCTGTCCATGTGGCCAGGCCCTGGCTCATGTGAAGCACCTTCAGAATCCCAAGGTCCTCTCCTGGTCCTCTCCCCCAGTCACGGCGTTCCTTCCCGCAGCGCGTGGTGACAGGCTGAAGGCACTGCTGAAGAATAACGTCGTCACTGTCTCTCCTCTTGTCACAATAAATGTGTAAAAACACTGGGCGGGGGGGTGGATTTAGTAGCTGGTCCGCGGCCTGTCTGACTGTGTGGGGAATGCTCTCGGCTCTCCACGGCGGCCTTCCAGCTCACACCTGCTGCTCCTCTGCCTGGACCGCTCTCCCTCCAGGCTCGTGGGCGAGGGCTCTCCCTGACCCCCTGGCCCCGTCCAGATCCGTCAGCGTCAGCCTGCAGCCCGGCCGCACGCCGCCCTCTCCCCGCTCTCTGTCTTGGCGGCACACATCACTGAGTCTCAGTCCTTTGCCCCGTCTGTTGGCCGCCCTCCCCTCGGGGCTGTAAGACCAGCAAAAGCAGGGACCTCGCCTGCCTGCGTTGTTCATCTCGGTCTCCTCAGCATCTCATGAGGCTGATAAAAGAGCATCTCCACACTGCAGCTCTGCATCCCCGCATGAGCGAAGTTTGGATTGAACCTTTCAGCTAATTTATTAGCCTAGCTTGAGAATAATTACGCAGCTTTGGGGGATCTTAGAGTATTTGTTACTTCTACCCTTGATGGTGGGGATGGGAAAGGTGTCAGAGGAATGACGTTCTACAGATGTTCCTTCTCCCCATGTCGGGTCAGGGGGCGGGTTAGGGAGCACACTGATGTCAGAGATTAGATGGTGATTATGTTTTGGCTCAGAGTATGCCATGCAGCTGAGGGTCACCTGACTGGTTGAAATGACTGAGCCACATGAAACCGAGGAGTGGGAAATAGCGCCTGGATACAGTGTTGACGGAGATTATGAACCGTCCAGCCCCCAGGGAGGGCAGTCGGACAGTATCTGGCAAAATACAATGCACAATGCACTTGTGCACAACCTTCCGAGCCAGCGATGCTACTGCTAAGGATTTTTCCTGCAGATGATTTTACTGGTAACAGCAAAAAGCTGGAAACTACCACCAACATAGGACAATGGTTAAATAAATGATGGCGAATGCGTACAATGGGCTGTTAAGCCTGTCTGTATGTACTGCCAGGGAATGGTCGCTAAGATGCATGGCTGAGTAGGGGGAAGAGGCTCTTGTGTTTGCTTCTAAAAAGAGAAAGGAGGCGGAGAAACACGTGTGTCTGTGGCTGTGTGTATATACACGTGCATGTGCACAGGGCACCTCTGGCTCCTGGGAAGAGGGCTGGGAATTACTCTTCACTGTCGACCTTTTGTACCTTTTGACTTTTGTACCGTGTACACGTATTGTGGATTCAACAAGATGAAGTTTTTCGATTTTAACTTTGCTTACTTTTCTTAAAAAATGGAAACGTGACATCAGATTCTCGCTCAGTAAATCTGCTTTCCTGAGGAATTGAAAACCCTTGAGCCAAAAGTAGGTAAGCTCTCCTCTTCTTGGGAGTCCGGGGAAATAGGGAAGCGAAAAGAGGGGCTCTCCTCTTCTGGAGGAGCAGCTCTGGGGGGACAGAGCAGTGAGCGTGGTTCTGCTCTGACTGGGTGAGGGTCAGGGTGGCCACGAGGGGGACGGGTGCGGAAGTGGATGGTGATATGGCTGCATCCTGGGAACAGACCAGGGCTGCTCAAGGGTGCCTGTGTCTCGGGAGATTCACCACACGACCCCTTGCCCCTGGCTGTTGGGCTGCAAAAGATGGAGGTGGTACCCCTGAGCCAGGGTCCAAGGCAAGCCGTGCCTGTATTGTGTGGAAACCCGCTGTGTGTGCATGATCCTCTCCCCACCCCTTTCCTGACCAGCAGAACTCATGTCTGCTATTCTAAAACAGTGATGAGAACTCATTTCTGTTCAGGAATCAATTTACAGACGCATAGCCCAGTCATGGCCAGTAGGGAGGACACCTTCCTACTGGTAGTCAGCACGAGATGCATGAGGGGAGCAGGTTGTCGCAGGTTGGACGGGGAAGGACGAGATGGCCGGAGCAGCCTTCACTATTTTGAGCCGATGAGGAGTGACATCCCGGCACACAGAGCTCAGCAAAGCGAAAGGCTGTAAAGATCCTGGCTCCCTGAAGGCAGGACAAGCTTCCGAACCAACCTGGGCACTGCTTGCCTCCATATTTCTTATTCCGTGAGAAAACTAGATCTCTGTTCACGCATTCATTCAACCAACAAATGTTTGAGCTCCTGCTCTGGTTCAGGCCCCAGTGATACATTAGTGTCCTCGGCAGGCAAAGGGACCTGTCTTCCTAAAGCTACACTCCAGTGGGAAAAGCAAACAGGTAAATGCTTAAACTATATCGCAGAAGGATCTGGAATGTCTGGTTTGGTGGTGATGGCTGCAGTTTTATGATGAGTAGTCAGGGACCACTGCTTTACATTCTTTACTGAAAACTACCTCACATTATATTCTGGAAATTTACCAGAGCAGCAGCTAACCTTGCAGCCTATCCGAGATGCCGCGCTGTATCCATCCTACCAGTGACTCGGCGTTCAGAGCCTCCTGCAGGAGATGTCGTTGGAGTGTCCTGCTTTACAGGATGTCTCCTGTCCCTAATTGCCTTTCTTTCCCCTTTTAGTCACCCTGATTTTCTCTGAACTCTGTGCATGCTACTTTACGTGCTCTTGTTTGATTTTTATCGGGTATAAACCAGGTACCGGTTTCAGGATGTAAATGCTATGGGTACTATTTCTTTGCACAATTTTAATACAGTTATCTCTTAGAATATTTTGGTGGTGTCAGGTTAATTTGGGCCAGAGAGAAAAGATGTGCCTTTGGCTCCTTCAGTCCAGGCCCAGATGGGATGGTTCCCAAACACCATTGATGCTCAGCTGTTGGGGGAAGGTTCCTGCCCAGACCACTGGTGAAGGGGAAAAGTTCCAGTTCCCTCCCGACAACCCTACCCACGTGTCTCTCCAAGCCCTGGGTTTATCTCTGCTTGGTGAAAAGGCTCCTGAAAGCATTGTTGTAGTTCTTGTTAAACGCCGTGTAAATCAGGGGGTTGAAGAAAGAATTGGAGTAGCCAAGCCACAGGAATATGCTTTTCCAGATGGGGGGCAGGCTGCAGGCACAGAGGGGGCTGATGAGCGCCGTCAGGAAGAAGGGGATCCAGCACAGCACAAACACGCCGATGAGAACACCCACCATCACCGCCGCCCGCTTCTCCTTCTGCTCCCGCCCCGAGTCTCCGCTCGTCTGCGAGGACCCCCGGGGCCCACGCACCGTGAACATCCTCTCTGCCTCCTGAGGTGCCGCCTTCACCTGGGAGCAAAGGAAACACGGCATTAAAATAAAATGCTAATGCTGGATGATAAAGCAAGGAGGCTGCTCCATCCTTGGCCAGCACCTCCCCTCCAGCCTCATTCAAGATGCACTGATACCAAAAACCATCAAGAAAGATGAGGGGGGAAAGCTCTTGAAACCGTACCTTTTTTAAGTTCTGAAGGTTCTTCCGGGAGTGAGAGCGGTGGTCCCCCCACCCCCACCCCTGTGTCAAATAATATGATCAAGAAAGGGAGGGAGGCAGTTACAAGCAGGAGTTGGTGTCGGACCCAGGAGGAGCCCGTTTCCCCGTCTGTGAAGCTGGGTGACCAAGTCCCCTCCTGCCACCATAAGACCGTCATGGACATGAACTGAAAATGTGTGTTGGGTCCCCCCAGCACACCCCCTGGCACAGGCACTCACCATTCATCACTCATGGAGGGGGCTCGGGGCTGGGACCAGGACCCTGCACAGAACAGGCCCAAGCCCGCCCCTCACCACCCACAGCTGGGGAGGCAGCCAAACGTCCACGTCGCAAGGAGTTACACAATGACTGTGCTAAATGGATTTAAACACTGGGATAATTTTGTATCACCTGGCTTAAACAAGCTGTAGATACCTTCGTGGTCATAATCAGCTGCCATTTACAGAGACTCGGGCACGCTCTCCACCCTTGACCTCCATCCTTCGATCATTTCCTATTTATGTCTTGAGTAAAGGCCACCAGCCTTCTCAGAGTGGCCTTCCCGCCCCTCTGGACTCAGTCACCGCTCCCTGTGATGGGGCACCCTCTTCCCCTCCTTTGCAACAATGTGTGTGATCAGTCACAGGTGTAATCTCTGGCGCCCCTCTGGTCCAAGCTGAATGAATAGCACCTGCCTGGCAGCACCACCTGGCGCCTGATAGGTGCCCAGGAGACAGCTGCTAGATCGACGGAGCACTTCAACAGCATGGTCCACACCTGATGTCTCTTCCCGCCCCCACCCCCGCCCCGAATGCTGCCAGTCACGATGCTGGAGAAAACACAGAGGCGAGAGGCTCCCAGGCAAAGGCTGTGTCTAGTTTCTCTCCTGGAGATGGCCTGCAGGAGAGCCATGCAGCCATGGGGCACTGTACAATGTCCTTGCCCCCCTCACTCGGGGCAGGATGGCGGAGCTTAGACAGCGGAGAAGCCCCCTGGTGGCCTGACCTGTGTAAACCCAGGCCTCCCCGCTCTCAGCTCTACCTTCAAATTCTCGGTCTCTGCCACTCTCCCCCACCCCCATGTTTATTTGTTTGGAAAACCACTACATCAGCCTCAAAACAGATCCTGGCGACGTGGACACGGGAGAGTCCCTTCCTTTGTGAATGCACACCTGCATTCTCCTGCCTGCCACTCAGGGAGAAAGAAAGAAAAGGCAAGCGACATCACAAGAGAACAGCCGGCATTTCCCTCCCCCCGCACCCCCGTCCCTTACAAAGGCCTGGCTTGGGGTCCAGCCGGCCCCAGGTTTCCCATCCTCATCCTCTCCGAGGCAGGTGGGAGCTGCAGGTCACCTCTCCCCTTTAGAAGAGGTAGCACTGTCCAGGGATCATAGTAGACCACTCTCAAGTCACCAAAAAAAGTCTGAGCATCCTGAAATCCCCCCCGTGAACATCCAGCAGCCCATCGTCGGGGCGGAAGAATACGATCCGAGCCTGAGAGGACGTGGCAGGTGACTTGTTTCCCTCCCACTCAGCTCATTAACGGGCACTTTCCCACCCATTCCTCCGCTGACCTCAGTGACCTGCCATGCACTTGAGTTCTTCCACAGGGTAATGCAACTCCAAATCCTTGTTATGCTACTGAGATAAAGACATGGGGTTAGTTCAGTTCAAAGGGATCCTCAGGGAAGAGAAACAGAGAAGGGGAGTCCACTGATTAAATAGGTTTAAAACACCTGGCTTCCATCACTGCAGCATTTTGCAGAGTCCCCCGTTGCTCCGCTGAAGTATTCGTTTGCTGGAAGCCTGTGGTCACGGCTTGCACCTGAGCCTGCCAAAGCCGGTGCGCAGTGATGGCGGAAGACATGGAAACTTTCCAGAAACAGCCTCAGAGAAAACCAGTCAATCCGGGATGACCCCGATTTGCAGGGAGACTGACAAGCTTGACTTTGTTTGCTTGTTTGATTGAAATGTGATGTCCAATACAAAGCCGAAAGACACAAGGAACGACTCCGGAAAGGCTCCTGTGAAACAGACAATACGCTACACACTTGTCATGAATGACTCTAATTCATTCATCCTCATGCCAAACCTTCCAGGCATTATCTCCATTTTACAGTCGAGAAGGCACTCCGAGAGCTTCTCTGCCTTGTCCAAGGTCGCACAGTTGCTTATCATTAGAGCTGGAAGTCAAACTTGGGTGTTCTGGGTGGGAGGCAGCCCTCTTAACGCCTACCTGTTATTCTGCACTTTGAATAAAAGTGATCGATCAGAATAGGTCCCCGCAGAACCTATTTCAGGATCCCATTTATGCTCGGGTTGCTTTCAGAATGGACATCTGTGGCTTCCTGGGAAGTTCCTAGGGCCTCTAGCAACCAGCTCTGGGGCCATCCCCGAGCTTCTCCATCTTGGATGTCTTCTCAGCCTCTTTGCCCTGACTGCCATCTGTGCACCTGTTGGAAAATGACCACTCAGGCTTAAGAGGCCTGCAACCCTGGGCTAGAATGCAGAAATACGGACTGTTGAATGCCTACAACCAATAGCACCCGGTGCTTTTTGGTCCTGCTGTAGGACCAAAGGACAGGTGTCCTGGATGCATAGAAGTTTGGAGACATCAGATGGCCCAGCCAAGGCCACACAAGCAGGGCCAAGCAGAACCAACGTGCTTGCTCAGTCTTTCTGGTTCCAGGCCTGTGTGGTCTCTCTCTGCCGCTCTGAGACATGACCTAAAACATGAGTTCACCTAAACATCTCTGCAGAATTTGAAGTTTTTCCATCTAAAATTAATTAAGGACCAAATCTGCCAGACAATATACACTCAGACATTAATCTTCTACTGTGTATATTGGGGACTGTGCTTTGGAATTTCCCATCAAGTCCCAGTTTCAAATATTCCGTCCCAAGATTCCCATACGCACTCTGATATCAGGGCATGGATTCTGAGTCATCATTCTGAATCTCGTGTCAGCATCAGCACTCCAGGAGGGCAGGGACCACGAGTGTCCTGTTCACTGAAGAACCCCAGTGTGATGTATGGCATATAGTAAAAGCTCAATACACATTTACTGAATAAACAGATATTTGGGGAGACGGCTCTTAAGTCCCTTGTGTTTCTGCACATTTTGCTAGCGGAGGCACTGACAGCCCTTGTTTCGGACTGGCCTATCAAGGATGTTCGGATAGCAAACAGCCTTGGAAGATAGAGACAGTGTCTCCCAACTAGAAAACAGGGCAGGTTCACTTGCAACCTATTATAAAAGATTCAGTTTTCCTAACAGCAAAAGGCTGGTTTATTTATTGTCCAGCCCTGACAGTGAAGACTTGAGTTCCCTCATCTCTACTATGTGTGATGCGAATCCAGTGGGCCACTCTGTGTAACTCCCACAAGGCTCTGAGGGAACAGGGAATGGATGCACTGGAGAAGCTCATGCATGCTGCCTCTGTCCCGTGAGTAATAACGTCTTTTAACTCTGATCTGGGAGTCTTGTGTCTTCTGCTAGCATCCAGTAAACTCTGGGAGGCCGACTTGCTAGCTTGCAAGCAGGGGACAATCTCAGACCTCACGGCTCCTGGCAGTTGTGTAGTGGTTGGCCATGTGAGTCCACACACCGTCTTAGTGATGACAACAAGTAGTAAAGAAGGAACGAGGAGACCCAGGCTCAGAACGCAAGTTAGTGTTTGGCTAGGATTCCAGTCTGAGCCCCTATTTCTACCTGTCCAACCATGAAGCCCCTTACCTATATGGTGGGCTTACTGGAGGTAGACAGTGAGACAGCAGTACATGGCAGGACCTCACGCATGTCAGTGTCATGTCCCCTTATCCCTCCCGTCTCCTCTAATTAAAAAAAAAAGTCCAGCTGCTGCAGAAAGCACCCACAAATATTTGTCAGCCTCTAATGTTGTCAGATAAACATCCTAATAAGTACAGTGGGGGAGGGTGTAGCTCAGTGGTAGAGCGCATGCTTAGCATGCACGAGGTCCTGGGTTCAACCCCCAGTGCCTCCATTTAAAAATACACACATGAATACATACATACATACCCAATTACTCGCCCCCTGAAAAAAAAAAAAGGAAAGCAGAAAGAAGGAAGGTTCCTAATCGCTTGTGGAACCAACCAGTGTGTGTGTTGTGACACATGAGTCAGGCAACCAGTGTGGTGAGGCTCCTCGCAAGGCTAGTGTGGGGGGACCAAGCTAACCCCAGTGACTCCCCGAGCTCTATGACCTCCGAGAGAGGGGAGAGGACACTGAAATTATTTCCAGTTTTGGTTGAAGGCCATCTGGATTGTAACTGGAATCCCCCATGTCTAGCCGAAGTTCAGCAGGTCAGGACTTGGCATACCTGGGGCCGCATCCTCTCCGTCCAAGGTGCACCGAGATAGCCAAGCTCCAAGCTGCATGTCTTGAAGGCACTTTAAAGCGATAACGAACCAGAATAGCCCCTCAGAGTAAACAGGAGCTGTCTAGCTTGTCTGGCAAACGAGGACAGGAAATTTTCTCGGCTGCTGCTTTTGTGCAAAAGAAAGCAGAAAGTAAATTAAGGAAGCTTTCTTGTTAAAAAAATAAAAATAAAAATAGAGCACTGCTGGGCTTGAAAAAAAATTAACTTTCCCTTCAGTGTAATTACACACACAAGAGTACAGTTTGGCTGAGTTCTTGGGTATGATCCTAACGTTAGGTACAACTCCATCATTCTTATATTTGGAAAATATGGATTATTTTGGAGGGGGGTAGGGGGTTGGTTAGTCAGCCTGGAATGATTAAGGACCCCCTAGAGTCAATGCTGAGAAGGGGAAATTATAATCAAGTATGTTAATT